TCCCTTCCTTCCATGTTTTCTTTCTTTCCATCTCCTGTCCTCTCCCTCCAACTTCTCTTATTTTTTAGCTATGGTCTTTAGAAAAATGCCGAACATAAGTGGAACACCAGCTGAGTAAAAATAATTTTAATCTTTTTCCCTAACATCTCAGAAACCGTCTAGGAATAGAGAGAAACTTATTTTGATAAAACTTTCTATTAGAAACCCTGAGCGAACTTTGTTCTTAATGGCAAAATATCAAAAATATCAGAAAACCATAGGCTATAACTAAAGCCTCTCTTTAGTATTTTTTAAAGCCTATATTGGGAATTCTGATCCTTTCATTTGTTCGAAACTTGTTTATGTTCTTTGTTTTTTATTATTCAGTTGCTGAAGAACATTTGTTCTTGGTATTATGCTAGCCTCATAATAATTTGAGATACAATATCATTTTTAGATATTCTTGGAAGGTTTTAATAAGGGAAAGTACTGATTTCTTGATGAATTCTTTCTTCAAAAAACATAAAATAAAAAGGAGGTTTAAACACCAACTGTCCTTGAGTCCTTGATGCTCTTGTGCAGTATAAACTTGAACAACCACTAGGTTAATCTTCCCCTCTATATCCATGGAGCTTACTTGCTCACTTTATTCTCATCTCTGATCAGATGTCATCTCATCAGTGTTTCCTTCCCAGACTACCCTGGATAAAACAACACTCTCCCACTTTCCCAGCCACACTAATGACCCTTAGAGCACTACTTGAGAGTAGAATATATATTACTGTTTGTAAGTTTATCATCTGTCTTTTTATATTAGAATAAAAGTTCAGGTATGTCACAACCTAGCTGTTTAGTTCACTGATAAACTGTTTCAAAAATAGTGTCTTGAACAGAATAAGTGTCTAAAAAATTAGACACTTGAAAGGATGAAATCCCAGAGTGTAAGAATGAGAATAAGAATTAATTGATCCAACTCTGTCATCTAGAACAGATTCACCTCAGAATCTCTGATTTACTCATTTTGGAGTGGGGCCCAAGAACTTGCAAGTTCTAGTAAATTCACTAGTAATCCTCATGCAGCTGGTCAGGAGGCCACACACTTTGACAATACCTAATTTAGAAGAACGCTTGGGATTAGTGAAGTAAATTTTAGTGTCATTCAAAACTGTATTTTTTGAACAAATACATTGTTTAAATTCTTTATTGAATCAATTCATCTTCTTTCCCTTTACATTTCTTTAAAAATAAGCAATAACATCTAAAACTGTAATTTTTAAAAATTTTTCCATTGGATATCTAATTAAAACAAATGTTAGACCTATAACTGTGGTTCTGAACAGCTACTTCTTTCCCCAAATTCACCCAACTAGAGTTAGAACCAGGAATTCACAGCAGTCTCAGACCACAGAGGCTCCTAAGTCACACATTATGACTTTTGTTAGTTTATGCTGCAAATCCATTGAGCTGGGAATGAGAGTTATGGATTAGAAAGCAAGTTTCAAAGCATGTGGAGGAATGTGGAAAGGTAACTAATAAACATTTGCTGAATGGAAGTGATGCAACATAAGGATGAAAGTTATATTAGTTAATGAGTGTTAGGTTCAGTAACAGAGAAAGCGACAAATTTTAACTTTCTGTGTACTCCTTAATTTGAACAGTCTCTTTTGAACAGTTCCTGAAAATTCAAGGTTGGGTCCTACCTCAAATCCCTAATGCTATTATATCAAATAAAGACATCTTAAGAAAACAAAGTTAAAGACACCAAGCCCACCTAATTGCATCAACTCTAGTGTCCAGGAAGTAGCCATTGCTCATAAATGTGTGTTTAGATGTGGCCGTTATTTAGCATCCTTCCCCAAAACCTCTCACACTAAACTGAGACCACAGTGGACTACTGACCACTTTCTCTCCTCAGTGTTTATGCTATGTTCTTCTTCCTCTCTATAATACCACTATCCACCCTCATTGGAAAGGTTTTGTTAGTATTTTTTGCTTGCTTACTTTGTTGTATATGTTCTTATCACTCATGAAAACTAATTTTTCCTTTAAATTGTGAGGAAATTACAACTTCCAATAAATGTTATAAAACTCTAGAGCCCTGATTACTGATATAGTTCTTGTTGCATGCTGAGAAAGAGACCAAAAGTTGTGTGGCACTCCACGGTTCTGCTGTCATACCTCAAGTAGAAGCTCAGCAAATCTCCCAGGCAGCCTATGGGCTAGAGAGTACATTGGGGCAAGATCACCAGAGCTGACTTGTCTCAAGTGAGTCATGAGTATTTCTGAGGACTTCTACACTCTGTGCTGCATGTCACTTGGCCTTTTCACTCTTATCACTGAAAGAATATTCTTAGACTTAATTTCCTCATTTTCACATATTAACATTTCTTTTTATCACTTACAATTCAAATCAAAATACCCTGTCATTCTAGATTCTAGAAAGACCTAGACGATTTTTCTTCTGTGATCTCAGATCACTTCACTTATAGCCCCATTTTATCTGGTCTTATAAAGCTGTCATTTGTATCAGTGTATTTCTTAATTGATATTATATGACTTTAAATTAGATATAGGGCTTTCTCTTATTTCATTCTTTTATAATTCTACAGGGTGGAATCCTATGTTACACAATAACAAATAAGCCAATTAAGATGACCATGTGACTCAGTCTCATCTGAGAATCATATTAGCTGATTCTTTTAGATTGTGAGTATCCAAAACTGTACCTGCCTTGCTTAATCTGTAGAAGAGAGGAAATTAGACTCTATTGCAAAATATGTGGAATCCATTTTGGTGCATCAATTTCATTCAGACTGGTAGCCTTTTTCATTGATGTAAAATGGAGCAAAGCCAAATATCAAAATTTCTTTCATACTTTTATACCTGTGCTACTAGGTTTTATTTTTCTTTTTTAAACAGAACATCCCCGTAACCAAGAACAGAGTCAGCTTACTCCATTATTTTTTTTAACGCAGTATTCATTTCTCAATCATCAATTTTTTTTTTTTTTTTTGGTTAGTCTTATTCATGCTATCTTTACTCACAACACACACAAAAATGGCTATTTGCATAAAATCTAATATACCAACTTCCAAAATAACATTTCCTCTAAGGTAAATATCATGCTATCATAAACTAGATACCACAAAATAGGAGATATTCTAATACTGTATTGAAAAGGAATCATTTTGAGCTCTAAGTTTAAAGAACAACTAAATGCATCTGCCTATAATTTTCCATCAGTCATTCTACTGTTCAGAGAAGTAGATGACAGTATAAGCACCATGTCAATATTTTATTCAGGAGAGAGGAAACAGAATCTGAGGCTGAGGTAGACTGACATGTTGATTTAGTAGCACCGGGAACCTGCTGTTTTTCAGACACAATTACAATGGCTCTGTTATGGAACGGGACTATGATTTTCAAAGATTTATAATAAGCACTTGCAGTAGTAAAAATAAATTAATAAATTGATTCAAAAAATAAAACCCTTTCTAGTATTCTCACCTGTAGGCAGATCCTGCATTTTGGGAATATAAAAATGCTCCCTGAAGTGCCTCAGCTTATCTTCTTCATCAAGGTGTAGGGCAACCCTCTCATCTGTTGGGTGGCATCTAAGTTCAGATGCCACACGTTGCAGTGTGTTAGTGGGTAACTCAAGGAGTAAAGGCTCCATTACAAGTTGTTCACTGAAGATAAGGATAAAAATTAAAAATTAATAAAGCCACCATCATTTTACTGTAGAAAATTAACATTTTAGGTAAAACATCTTTTGTTTTAACTAAGATTCTCATCTTCTCAGCTTCAGAAATAATATAATTAACCAAACAGCACTAAACTCCATGCCTAAGTTTTTCTTATGTATAAAATGAAGAAAGTAAAAGTCACTTAGGGATGATGAAAGGACTAAATTAGGTAATGGAGCTCTCAATAAATGTTAGCTCTTTTCATTTTTATTTTCTGAAAAATGAACCAAATTAATGGCTTTCAAATATATATCTTTATCATCTCTTCCTCTAAATGCCTTACTAAAAAATAACAGTAAAGATACTTTTGTGAAAAATATAGAAAAACAATGCCCCATCTAGCTTGTCCTTCTCGCTATCTCTACTCCACTGTCCCATCCCGGATGGTTCTTAGATTATAGTTTTAAAATTATGAAGATATATGCAATAGAACCTTAACATTCTTTACTGTGAATGAAAACAATATTGATGAACAAGAGAACTTTAAATAATGTTAATAATTTTTGGCATATGAAGACCGAAGAGATCTATTTGCAGCTGATGATGAGAAACTTCTTTCACTATCATAGGCACATCTTAGAACAAAGCAGGATGCTTTGGTGTTTCTTAAAACCACATCCTACATCATCTAATCTTTCAACATTTCACATCTTTTGGGAACAAAAACTTAATCATTCTGAAGGGGATAAATAACAATGGAGATTTAAATACATATTTTTAAACTTCACTCAAGTTTTATACACATTTATAATTCTCAAAGTTGTAGTTTTTTGAAATTGAGTAAAAATAGTATTAGAAAAAAATTTTTCACTTGATATACATATGAATACTTTTGCTGGCTTTGCTTCTACATTCCTCCATTCATTTATTCTTTCAATAAATTTTTATTGCACGTCTACCATGTAGCATCATGCACACTGATGGAACAACGATGTATAATAATTTAAAAGTAGTGACTCATGTGGAATTTACTTTTTACTAAGAAGAATTAAAAAATAATTAAATTATATAATTTCAGATAGTTCCAAGAACTATGCGTAAACAGAGCAGAGTAATGGGATAGAGTCACTAGGACATGGAATAAGCTACCTTGGGGGCTCACATGCATTTCTCTGAGGCAGGAGTATATAATTTCTGAATCATGCTATGGTGAAGACATCAACGTGGAGGAAGATACCAGCACCTGCAAAAGCTCTAAGGTAGAGATAAACTTGGCCTGTTCAACTAATGCACTGAGGGGAGGAGGAGGAGTGAGAGACTATAATGTAAGAACAGTAGAGGCAGAAGTTAGTCATGAACTTCGAAGGCCAGAAAAGAGTTTGGATATTTTTCTAAGTTTAATGGGAAATCATTGGAGAATGTTGAGTAGGAAAATAATATGATATAATTTAACATTACAAAAAAGTCACTTTTCCTGCTCTCTGAGTTTTGAGTTAAAAAAGAAAAGTAAATTAAGGCTATTTTAGTAATTCAGGGGGAAAATGATGGTAGATTAAATATGGTGAGGGAAAGGTAGAGAGGGAAAAGTGTCTGGATTTACAATATATTTTGGAAAAAACTAGATATTCTCTGGTGAAGACAGGAAAGCAGGTAACTTTTAGCTTTGGGATTTGAGCAGTTATGTTAAAAGCAATGATATAAGAAATACTCAAGGAATAAACATTTTGAAGAGAGAAATTAGAGTTCATTTAGGACATGTTAAGTTTCAGATAAATACTGAACATCAGGGTAGAAATATCAGATTGGCTATAGAATGTTTAAGTCTGTAGCTCAGGAATATTGGATCACAAGATATAAGTTTGATAGTTTTCAACTCATAGCCTAGAATGCCTAGAGACCAACTAAAACAGGCATAGGTGCATCACTAGAATCAAAATTTAATTATCTTTTCTCTACCCCCCACTCTTTTTCTCTTACCCCAACACACCTATTATTAGGCGATAAAGAATTGTCTGAGTGTTACACGATGCCAGTAAAACAGACATTCTTCCTATCCGCTAAACTTCATTTCTTCTGCTTATTTGACCTCTTCTTTTCTCAATTGCTAATGGTCTCCCCTGATGAGCCATCCTTTATATTCCCAGATAAGGATACTGAGATTCATCTAAGCATGTTTTTTTAGCTTTGATACCAGTAATGGCTTCCAATTGCTACAATCGTGCTTTTTACAAGTCAATGATTTCAACATTGATCTTGATGGTTCTTTTTCAATATCAGACCATATTAAATTATTTATTTTTGTCACAAAATTTTATCTCTGTGATTTTTCTCATGCCACTCCCTTTACCTAAAATGTTCTGCTTCCCTTTCTACATATTCAGATCTTAGCCATCATTCAAAGCCCTAACTGAAATGTGACTTTTCTTCACGAAGCTTGTCATGATGTCTCAGTTAAAAGTAATCTTTCCTCCTGTGAACACCTGTAACATTTATGAGCACACATCTTATTGTAAGCATACTTGTGATAAGTAGTACATTCTGCCAGGTATTCTATTTATTTAAATACATAGGTGGATGGGGAAAATCAAACATGCTTGCCATGCCAACAATTTGATTCTAAATGGGTTTCTACCTATAACTTTCTGATGAAGGAAACTGCCTTCTGAATAGAGATGACTGTGACTCTACCACTTGACATTATCAGTTACCTGGTCATCATTAATTAGATCTTTCCCTGACCCTTGACTCACTGAAGGCAATGGTTCTGTCAATGGTCTGTGGAATGACCTGCTGTAAATGCTCAGACCAAACAATCATGATGGTGTTTAACAGAGCACATAATCAAATTCTTTCAGGAATCTGACCTGTGAGATACAGTTATTCATTTATTTAGAAATAGGAGCAAAACTTTAAAAGAATCATAGATAGGATAATAAAATGGAGGAATCTAAGAAGGGTATTGTCACGAGTGACTCTTTTTTTCAGAGTCAAACAGAACCACTGATTGTTAAAGCATGAAATGATTCCAACAGTAAGTAAGAATCACTGTTACACAATAGCCAGGGATGGAACAGCTGTGGTTCCTGAAAATGTGACAGGACAAGTCAATCTGGAGAATCTTTGAATCTGTCCATGCAACAAACTATGTGTAAGACTGGAAGGCTGCCTGCTTAGTAGGCAGTAAGGTGTGTCTTCACTAGAAGCCCAATACTTAACGATAGCTTGACTGAGTTGCTGGTCTATCCTACTGAATTTTATTCACCTGAGGGCCCAGAATCTTGTTTAATTTATCTTTATAGTCACCCCATTGCTGAGCAGTGCCCTTTAGACCGAGTGTTCTCCCAAAATGGCAGCTGAATAAGAATACACAAAACAGCTGGGTAAATTATTTTATATGACTAATGACATGTTACTAGAGGGATATGCTCTCTCATTCCAATCACATGAAAACTAATTAGAGAAACATTTCCAGTGAGTCTCAGAATCAAGAGAATGTCTTTGGAGAGTCAGCTCTTTGAGAATTCATTGAGATTGACTCTGAACTCGAAACAAGGTTGCTTGCTAAATAAATATACAGATTATTTTGGTACCATCATATTCCAGTAAAATTCAACTTTCCTTATTTTAAAAAATAGTCACAATAATTCATAAACCTCCTTATACTTGTTTCTTATGTAATCCTTGTAATAATCCTAAGGGATCAGAATTATTTTCCCCATTTTGGGACTAAACTCTGGAATAAACAGAGTAGAAACAAAAACAGAAAAAAAAAAAAAGCATAATAAAGTTGACTATTTGGCACTACACTTTGCCTGAGGACCTAAGTCAGCTTCACTTGTCTTTGACATGGCATGTGAGTGGAATATGCAGAGCAGAGTTCCTGGCCCAAGACTTGAACCTCTCAATTTATTTTCACTTGCCCTTTCCTTCCTAAAGAAATTTAAAAAATTTCTTTATTTTTTAAAATTTCTTTCACCCATTCCCTTTATCTCCCTTTATTGTTTCAGCCCTGTACTCAGTCTGCAAAGCACCACAGGCTATGAATCCATCTACTCTTTTTAATCAACGCTTCCCTCATCCTGGCCTCACAAAAGTTAAAGAAGCTGGTTTCACTTCTGGGCCTGTCACAGCCCAGGTGTTACAACCTCATTGGCACTGATAGTGAGATACCTTCTGGTGGAATATTCTTTCAAGTACTCCCCTCACCTTTTCACCATGCACAGCCTCAAAACAGAAATAAACACAATCGTCAGTGCCCATGATGCCACAGTGCCCTCACTCTAAGGAAGCAACTTATAAACTCATAAGAATTGTTGCTTAATTCTGCATTCAACCCACAGCTAATGTAATTTTATATTTTGTTTAAGTTTACCATTTGCAAGTAAATTGGCATGTTGTTATTATGAAATATATTCAGTCCAAGTTAAACAAACCCCCAAATTTTATAGTTTACATATTTAGTGCTAATCTGATTAAGAAGGTGGGCATATACACATATGGACAGGTTACCTAAACTTTTGTGCTGTAATGTTATATGAAATTAAGTTAAATTGTACTTTCTTCAGAGGATTATGTTTAATATCTTTATACAGTTAATCTTTATACAGTTTCAGGTTTCATGCTAAAATGAACTAATTATACACATGAGTTCAAAGTTTAGAACCCAGAAAAGCAAATTATAAAGGAAATGTGTGGCTTTTTATTGAGAAAGAGGGAAATAAGACATCATTTAATATATGTGCATAGAGCAACATTCTTTAAACCTATCATTTGATAAATGAGTGACATCATTGTCACAACTGCGTATTTCATATCTAAGATTATATTAATGACATGCTAGCTTCACATTAATAAGAGTAATGCATTTATTACAATTTACTATCTAAATAACACCCACGCTCTTTAAAATAAAAGCAGGATAAAAAAGAAACCCTTCTTTTAGCTATATAGAAAAAAATGTATCAACTTTTCATTCTTAGGCAAATATTTCATAAAA